TAGATTTGAGCAGCTTATACTTACCTTCAACTACACATTCATACATCCTGCATCCATTGGGACTGTTGGTTGTGCACATCCTCAGGAATGAACCTTTTTACATGAACCCGTGGTTAAACAGCAAGTGCGTATATGTCCAGCTAAAGCATCAACAATCTTATAACTTTCTTTTATGTACACACCTTTCTTTTACTGCCATAATCATTAACAGTTCTCTACTTGTGAGGGCATTCATTAACAAACTGTATTCCCTACCCCCAAACCTGGCCTGAACCAAATTCTGACCTTAACCATTAAACTAAGTATTAATCCTGAAAACCGGACAAAATGTCTTCACTCTTCAAGAATGTCCTCACTTCTAAGGTGTAAAACTCAGAATGTTCCTCTCGAAGATAGAAATACAAGAACACACACAGATTGCAGTGTGGGCTGCCTGCAGTTTAATACAACAATACAATGTAAATATAGACACAGACAGATAAATTATTATTATTAGTAAGACTCCATTTAGAAATTAAGTGTAACACCACCTAGCTCAGCATCTCCACTAGCTAGAGTTGTTTCTCTTCACAGGTGAAGGGTTGGACAACCAACAATAAAATGCAGTATCATCTTACAGCCACTAGATGGAGACAGTATTCTTCATATTACATCCTTGTTACATGAAGTGTTCCACTGATTTTCAAAGCATTTAACGTTGTTATACTTTATTTTGCTCCTGAACTAGTTTTCTCTTTATCACTGAGCTGCAGAGACCTGAAACATTAACCACAGCAGAGTTTGTGCCTTGTCACGAGTTTCACTGAAGTTTACTAAATATATGTAACTTCCAAACAAACCCACAGCCTCTATATTGTCGATTAATAACTTTATGTTGTGTAATTTTCTTAATATTAATATGACAGTTTTATTTGCTATGAATCTAAATATGAGTTGTGATATTTCACTTTGAAAACAGTCAAAATGTAGAGCTAGGAAACAACAGTTGACACAACACACTCACTTCAAGGTCCATTTAGCGGTTCTAATGCTTTTGATCACACCACATAATCTCATCAGACGATGTCTACTCAGTTGTTATGTAAATGTAGAAGCTCAAATTTCCATTTTTCTCTTCTAGTCTTCTTGGGACGAGTCCATCTGCTGATGAAGATCATATGATATCATCAAAGGCTCCAGAGCAGCTAATAAATTAACCTTGAGGTGAAATTGTTATATCAAACTGCTGTTTCTAAAGGTCAAGAATGAATTCTTTGAAGCTGGACAAGCAATCGTCATAATAATCTTTTTTCCTCATGACAACTGGGCAAATTCTATCTGCTGATGATGATCATGTGATACAATAGAAAGTGCCAGAGCAGCTACTAAATTAACTTTTGGGTGAGATTCAAATTAAAATCAAAATGTAGTTAACAGGGTTTTTCTGGAAGAGAACAAAATATCTGTTGTGTGGAAGTGTGGTTACCTTGTACATAATTTATTAAAAACTATCAAACCATCAATTTTCTGACATTTAGTGGAAAGTTTCCGAGTGAGTAAATTCTCTTTTCCACAGCGATTGTAAAAACTTTTGGGCTGAACACAAAAGAATTAACTTTTAACATGAAAATGACATAATTAGCTTTCAGAGTCTTAAATGTCCAGTGTGTAGCATTTATAACACCCTCACAAAAATCTCAAACCCTCTATCTAGATCGAGTGTTTGGATTGTCTGTTCTGGGCTACTCTAGAAGTATCACAAATTCCTCCTCTCCATCATTGCATTTAAACACAGGTGGAATTAATTTAAAAATCTATTATTTATGATAGCATAATATGTTCAATAGATAATAAGCTAACATATTTTATAAAAATAAAAATGATATTTTTAGAGACTGAAAGGAGAATTACAACCCACAGTGACATGATTGGAATATTTTCACAGATTCAGAGAGTAAAAACAAGTTTTAATCTATGGATTCATATAAACTAACTGAACTATTAAACTAAGTGTTCTCATTTAAATTTAGAGGTTTTTTTTATTCTGGTGACAGCAGCTGTTTGTTGTACATATCTCTGTTATTAATTATTCATGATAATTTGACAGAGCTCCAAAATACACAATGTTCCATCCAGTAGTTTTCAGTAGTGTGTCACAGCTCTCGTTTTAGCTCGCTGACATTATCTGTTACTTTATCGGTTCATTTTCAGGACAAACAGGACAGGATGCGTTGCTAATTTGGGACTGTCCCATATTTTTCAGGAGAAATGGAAAAAGAGGCGCTTTTCAGAGCAAGAAAAAAAGAAAGTGGATTATTAGAGTATTGAGAAAAAAGAGGAAACAGTTGAAAAGTACAAAGGATTTCTTAAATGTAAGATAAGAGCCTAATGGAGAGAGGAGGAGAAGGGGGACTGAGATATGGGAGAGGGGGATTTGAATCGAGGCAGTTTTTTTGAAGTGTTTCGACCTTGTGACAGAAGATAAGAGTTGACTTAATGAACCTGTGTGGATCTATGAGGGATCTGAGCAGAGACCATTACCATATTATAGGTTAGTTTAGAAATAATCTTGCCCTGAAATTAAGTTCATCATCTTCAACCAACCAGGGCAGCAAATAAATATCTATAGTTATTATAAGTAGTTAGTATGACGCTGGGAAATCGTATAGGGTATTTGGTATGAGATAAATTCCTTTTTATTTCAAAATTCGTTTGTTTTTGGATGATTTAATTGTTGGGTGGAATTTGGGGGTTAGGGTTTTTTAGGGTAAAATTAAGAGAATAATAGCTCAACCCGTAGGACTCTCACATTCTTGTCACCTATTTAACATAAATTACCCATTTACCCGCATTTAGGTAAACCAAAGGTCAACTTCTGTAGCTTGTCGGAAGTCAGAATATTGAGATACTGTTCAAATCCTGACAATGTAAGGAACCAATGAGCAACTGCAGGTGGAAAGAGTATAAAGCTGCCCTGAGTCTTTTACACTCCTGCCTATCTGCAGGAAACATACATGACGCCTGCCTCCATGCAGGAGGCAAGTTTCTCGTGTGCTGGTGATTAAACTTAAGCCGAGCTGCATTTTCACCGCCAAGAGCCTGAAACATGTGGGAAATTACACTGACAGACAGAAAGAGAAGACAGGCGTTAATGTTCTACCTTCTAACCTTTCTTTAATCCACTCAGGCATCAAAGTCTTTACTAATACACACACACTCTCTCTCTTCTGCTGTTGGAGGCCTTCATTGACAAACCTTCATCCTCTATCCCTAAAAAATAACCAGCTTTACTTACCCCACACAGCCAGGACTATGTGGATTCAGACAATTTTAAGTAATAACATCCAAACACTTCATTCAAACCAGAAACCAGACAGAAATAAAATAAAACGCACCAAAGCCGTGATTAGTCCTTCCACTGTTCCAACAATCATTAATTCTGGTTTGAGGTCGAGCATCAGAGAGTCAGTGCGGAGAAACAGCATATTTTAATGTCTGACTTTATGTCAGTGAATAAAACTTCTTTGAATATGTTGTTGGGAACTGAATTACTGTGCAAATACACTCCTCGTGTGATCTTCATCAACAAAGACTTAAACCAACATGTAGACAAGAAAACAGCCCATCTCTGTGATTATTTACACATCAATCGTGTCCGTGGAGGCTAGGATTTTAGATCTGAAGGGAAGCACTGAATGATATTACAGCAGTGAATCATTAGCTTGTGGATGACTCTCAGTCTCACGCTCTTTCCTCAGAGTCCAAAGCTTAATCACAGTTTAGACGTAAACAGGCTGGGGTATTTCTCTCTCTAGCTGCTTCTTTTTGTTTATTAATATCATTTCGTGTGTGCTGCCGCTTGATACAATCAACTCCAGGCTCAGCCTTTTGAAGAAGTGAAAATGTCCCAAAATATCTTCACTTTAGGAATCCACCCTCAAACCGAACCCTGAAAGAACTCAAAGAGCATCAAATAACATTTATTCTGTTGTCTCGTTCTGCTTCATTTAGAGAGAGAATTTAGAGAAGCTGTTTTATGTTCTTCTTCCATCCTGCGTGTCCATGGATGAAGGCAGAGCTGTGTGTTGAACAGAAAGATTAGCTCACATCACACACATTCACCTCTGTCAGACTCATGTTTGCGTCTGACGGCTGCAGAGGAAATCCATATCACACTGGGGGAGCTGTGTGTGAGCGATGTCTTGTACTTCTATCTTTGTGACGACCAGAATGAGTTTTAAACTGAAAGTGTGGACATGTCTCCTGGAAATCATATATAGTGATATTTACTTCGGATTTGTCTTGACGATTCAGTTTTTTTAACAACACAGTTGATGTCAAGACAATGTTCTGTAGTAAAGGTTCTTTCAACAAAAAAGTGTCAAGCTGCTAAACCTGGTCTAGCTCCGGTTATGGCACTACACCAGTGCTGCCCAGGCCTGAAAGCTTTCTCCTCTCGGTGGTCCAAAGCTACTGCAGTACCAGTGTGAACACCAACACTCCTGATTTTAATGAAATTTGGTTTGTTATAAAGGTGGGACGGTGATACTGGTTGCTAACCCGAATGAAAGACCAGTTACTGAATTAACTCCTACAAGTATCCAGTATCAGTACAATTTCTTACGTTTATAACAAACCAAATTTCATGAAAATGGGATCAGATTAGAAGAGGGATTTTGCCGTCGGGAAGGGGCCTGTGGAGTCTCCAGGCCAAAACCAGCAGGCTCAAGGACAGTTTCTTCCACCAGGCGGTCAGGAGACTCAACTCCCTCCCTGCTCTACCGTCACTCCCCCCTCTGCCCCCTGCCACAGACTCCGACCGCACCAAAACCAAAACCAAAAACTTGCCTCCTGCAAACCAAAAAGTTTTACCAAAATCACTGACATAGTTGGAAAACCAAAAGTTACATTGCAATAACCAGAGTACAGAGGAACCGTTCACCCTG